ATAGAATAACTACTTTCAGATAACACAGTAGCCGGCCCCCTTCATTGAGGGACAGAACAACGCTATAGAATAACTACTTTCAGATAACACAGTAGCCGGCCCCCTTCATTGAGGGACAGAATAAGGCTATATAATAGCCACTATACAATAGCACAGTAGCCAGTCCCCTTTATTGTGGGACAGAACAACTCTATAGAATAACCACTATACAATTGCACAGTAGCCAGTTCCCTTCGTTGTGGGACAGAACAACGCTATAGAATAACCACTATACAATAGCACAGTAGCCAGCCGCCTTCATTGTCGGACAGAACAATGCTATAGAATAACCACTATACAATAGCACAGTAGCCGGCCCCCTTCATTGAGGGACAGAATAAGGCTATATAATAGCCACTATACAATAGCACAGTAGCCAGTCCCCTTTATTGTGGGACAGAACAACTCTATAGAATAACCACTATACAATTGCACAGTAGCCAGCCGCCTTCATTGAGGGACAGAACAACGCTATAGAATAACTACTTTCAGATAACACAGTAGCCGGCCCCCTTCATTGAGGGACAGAATAAGGCTATATAATAGCCACTATACAATAGCACAGTAGCCAGTCCCCTTTATTGTGGGACAGAACAACTCTATAGAATAACCACTATACAATTGCACAGTAGCCAGTTCCCTTCGTTGTGGGACAGAACAACGCTATAGAATAACCACTATACAATAGCACAGTAGCCAGCCGCCTTCATTGTCGGACAGAACAATGCTATAGAATAACCACTATACAATAGCACAGTAGCCGGCCCCCTTCATTGAGGGACAGAATAAGGCTATATAATAGCCACTATACAATAGCACAGTAGCCAGTCCCCTTTATTGTGGGACAGAACAACTCTATAGAATAACCACTATACAATTGCACAGTAGCCAGCCGCCTTCGTTGTGGGACAGAACAACGCTATAGAATAACCACTATACAATAGCACAGTAGCCAGCCCCCTTCGTTGTGGGACAGAACAACGCTATAGAAGAACCACTTTCAGATAGTACAGTAGCCAGCCACCTTCATTGTGGGACAGAACAACGCTATAGAAAAACCACTTTCAGATAGTACAGTAGCCAGCCACCTTCATTGTGGGACAGAACAACGCTATAGAATAACCACTATACAATAGCACAGTAGCCAGCCCCCTTCGTTGTGGGACAGAACAACGCTATAGAATAACCACTATATAATAGCACAGTAGCCAGTCCCCTTCATTGTCGGACAGAACAACGCCATAGAATAACCACTATATGATAGCACAGTAGCCAGCCCCCTTCATTGTGTGACCCAACAACGCTATAGAACAACCACTATACAATAGCACAGTAGCCAGCCGCCTTCGTTGTGGGAGAGAACAACGCTATAGAATAACCACTATACAATAGCACAGTAGCCAGCCCCCTTCATTGTGTGACCCAACAACGCTATAGAACAACCACTATACAATAGCACAGTAGCCAGCCGCCTTCATTGTGGGAGAGAACAACGCTATAGAACAACCACTATACAATAGCACAGTAGCCAGCCCCCTTCATTGTGGGAGAGAACAACGCTATAGAATAACCACTATACAATAGCACAGTAGCCAGCCGCCTTCATTGTGGGACAGAAAAACTCTATAGAGTAACCACTATACAATAGCACAGTAGCCAGCCGCCTTCATTGTGGGACAGAACAACGCTATAGAATAACCACTATACAATAGCACAGTAGCCAGCCGCCTTCATTGTGGGAGAGAACAACGCTATAGAATGACCACTATACAATAGCACAGTAGCCAGCCGCCTTCATTGTGGGACAGAAAAACTCTATAGAGTAACCACTATACAATAGCACAGTACCCAGCCGCCTTCATTGTGGGACAGAACAACGCTATAGAATAACCACTATACAATAGCACAGTAGCCAGCCCCCTTCATTGTGGGACAGAACAACGCTATAGAATAACCACTATATAATAGCACAGTAGCCAGCCCCCTTCATTGTTGGACAGAACAACGCCATAGAATAACCACTATACAATAGCACAGTAGCCAGCCCCCTTCGTTGTGTGACCCAACAACACTATAGAACAACCACTATACAATAGCACAGTAGCCAGCCGCCTTCGTTGTGGGACAGAACAACGCTATAGAAGAACCACTTTCAGATAGCACAGTAGCCAGCCCCCTTCGTTGTGTGACCCAACAACACTATAGAACAACCACTATACAATAGCACAGTAGCCAGCCCCCTTCGTTGTGGGACAGAACAACGCTATAGAAGACCCACTTTCAGATAGCACAGTAGCCAGCCACCTTCATTGTGGGACAGAACAACGCTATAGAATAACCACTATACAATAGCACAGTAGCCAGCCGCCTTCATTGTGGGACAGAACAACGCTATAGAATAACCACTATACAATAGCACAGTAGCCAGCCACCTTCATTGTGGGACAGAACAACGCTATAGAATAACCACTATACAATAGCACAGTAGCCAGCCGCCTTCGTTGTGGGACAGAACAACGCTATAGAATAACCACTATACAATAGCACAGTACACAGCCGCCTTCATTGTGGGACAGAACAACGCTATAGAAGAACCACTTTCAGATAGCACAGTAGCCAGCCACCTTCATTGTGGGACAGAACAACGCTATAGAAGAACCACTTTCAGATAGCACAGTAGCCAGCCACCTTCATTGTGGGACAGAACAACGCTATAGAAGAACCACTTTCAGATAGCACAGTAGCCAGCCACCTTCATTGTGGGACAGAACAACGCTATAGAATAACCACTATACAATAGCACAGTAGCCAGCCCCCTTCATTGTGGGACAGAACAACACTATAGAACAACCACTATACAATAGCACAGTAGCCAGCCCCCTTCATTGTGGGACAGAACAACACTATAGAACAACCACTATACAATAGCACAGTAGCCAGCCCCCTTCATTGTGGGACAGAACAACGCTATAGAAGAACCACTTTCAGATAGCACAGTAGCCAGCCACCTTCATTGTGGGACAGAACAACGCTATAGAAGAACCACTTTCAGATAGCACAGTAGCCAGCCACCTTCATTGTGGGACAGAACAACGCTATAGAAGAACCACTTTCAGATAGCACAGTAGCCAGCCACCTTCATTGTGGGACAGAACAACGCTATAGAATAACCACTATACAATAGCACAGTAGCCAGCCCCCTTCATTGTGGGACAGAACAACACTATAGAACAACCACTATACAATAGCACAGTAGCCAGCCACCTTCATTGTGGGACAGAACAACACTATAGAACAACCACTATACAATAGCACAGTAGCCAGCCCCCTTCATTGTGGGACAGAACAACACTATAGAACAACCACTATACAATAGCACAGTAGCCAGCCCCCACCGTTGTGGGACAGAACAACACTATAGAAGAACCACTATATAATAGCACAGTAGCCAGCCCCTTCATTGTGGGACAGAACAACACTATAGAACAACCACTATACAATAGCACAGTAGCCAGCCCCCACCGTTGTGGGACAGAACAACACTATAGAAGAACCACTATATAATAGCACAGAAGCCAGCCACCTTCATTGTGGGACAGAACAACGCTATAGAACAACCACTATATAATAGCACAGTAGCCAGCCCCTTCATTGTGTGACCCAACAAGGCTATAGAAGAACCAATATCAAATAGCACAGTAGCCAGCCCCTTCATTGTGTGACCCAACAAGGCTATAGAAGAACCAATATCAAATAGCACAGTAGACAGCCCCTTCATTGTGGGACAGAACAAAGCTATAGAACAACCACCATAAAATAGAACAGTAGCCAGCCCCTTCATTGTGTGACCCAACAACGCTATAGAAGAACCACTATCAAATAGCACAGTAGCCAGCCCCCTTCATTGTTGGACAGAACAACACTATAGAACAACCACTGGGTGGGTCAGTAGGTCAGTGTGCGCGTCAGAGGTCTTCTTAAATCAACACTAGGTCCGGGTTTGAAGCATGATTCATGCAGAAGACTGACAATATTCACTTAATAGATACAGGCGAACTTTGCATCTGACAAAGTTTAATTTTCTGAAAAAGGCTGAATGCGCTCTACAAGCTGATGGAAAACATGCCTGGTCCGTCACATGTTCCCAAAAGCGCTCTGACTAAAACTGGTGTACATGATTACAGATCGAGAGTTGCCTCCCTTAGCTGGCAGTATTCGCTGATCGTTGGTTCGAATCCAAGATTTGACCAGAAATATCCTCCCTGGTCTGTCAGCACCAGACCCAGGCTCGTACAGTACACAGTTACAACCTGCGTCACTCACACGAGAAAATCAACAACCAATCACATGACCGGCCAAAAGGCACGGATATTTGTTTCCGGGTGCTTAATTGTGAGGGCACTTCGTTATAACACTTGTCGGAAAATATCTGATGAAATGTTGACAAATACGAAGATAGGAAAATATGGAGGATAAACCTAAACTACATCACTATACGTACATGTACATCCTCAACAAACATAAAATATGACTACAATAATCAGCGTTATAACGAGGTGTACTTCAAGACGAGCGTGTCAGTTTCATTCAGAATACGGATTTGTTAACACAGTAAGCAAACACAAATGCTTATATGTACTGAAGGTGGATGTTTTTGTGACTTCGTTAATGAATATTGCCAATACTGATCCTCATTGACAAATTCCTCCATCCGTCCACGCGTTCGTGGGTTTCTGTTCAACTTTCCATGGGATTATTTGAGATGGTGGTCTTGCTACATAGTATCTTCATGCCTGGACAACCAAGAGGAACAATCACGGAAATACATCAGAGTAGCTACCTCATCCCACATGTTACGCTGAAAGTGCGACAAATGTATATTTAGCCGAGGGACACCCCACCGGATTTGTTAGTGTATATAATGTGCCACCACTTGTTGACAGACAGACCACACTCCACCGTCAGGCAAAACATCAAACGTTTGCTGTTCACAGATCATTTCCCACTTCAGTGAAAGTTTAAGTACTCGATTACCAACATGATTTATGAGCTGTGTGTTCTGATCTGCGTAGGGATCCTCTCTGCGTCCGCTCTACCTGTCAACGACGCCTGGAAACACGTGGTCAGACAACGTCGTAACGCTGCCAACTGTCAACCACCTCAAGATATCAACCAACTCTTCCAAAGTCTCAACGCCAACACCGACACCTCCATCTTTCTTCGTAACGCTCAGGGTGCCAGACCGGGGTCATATTTACACAGCGAGCTGAACACCGACCAGGTGTTCGACAGTTCCCACCTCGGAGGCATCACCTGTCCAAGCAGCGTCAGTGACGACCCTCAGGACCCCCTGTGGATGAGGTCCCTCTGTCCCTGGTACTACAACGTCACCGATCTGCCCGCCGGTCACTACCCAAGTGCCATCCCCCAGGCCGTGTGTAAGTGTGACAAATGCGTTGACAATAACCAAAACCAGTGCGAGAGAGTTTCCACTCAAATCCGAGTTTTAGAAGAAACTGGCTGTGAAAATGGTTTCTTTATCTACAAGCCCAAAATCATCACCCATTTCGTCGGGTGCACTTGTGCCAAACGCCGGACACCAACAGTAGGTTCGAACACCGCCCCAACAGCATCAGACAGTGAAAGCAGTTGTGGGGATTTTGGATGTGCCCCCTAAACGAGAGACTCGTAGACGATGTCGCCAATTGATGGTGTCATTTTCCAATGGACTATTTCCAGTGAGGAAATACCGTGTTAGTCAGTGTCTGACAACTATCCCGTTTAGGTAGAAAGGTGTTGTACAAAAGCTGCATTTCCGTCCATGTATGAAATGCCTTATTACTTCATACATCACCACGACATTAATTCAGTCCATTTTCATTTATTTATTTATTCATTTATTTATAAGTGTTTGTATGTGCTTTATTTTTTATGAATGTGTGTATTTTGAATATTCACAATTATGTATTTATTGCCATATGCTTATTGTGATATTTATTGTTGACGACGCATCAAATGGAAAATTGGACTAATATCTGTTAATCACCACATTAATTCAGTCCACTGTTGTTGATTTATTATTACATAATTAAATCATTTATTATACGATTATATATGTTGAAATACTTAATGAGAATGTGTGGATTTTGCATGTTCACAGTCATAAATTTATCGCCCCATGCATCGGGAAATGTATCGTTTTTACAACGCATCAAGTTGAAAATTAGACCTTCATCTGTATCAATGTTGCTTATTGCTCAAACCCATGTCATTTTCTTCAAGATCATCATCAGACACTCAATGTCATTCCATTCACCTAACCTATATACATTTAGATTGTTATTTTCTTGTTGACACATTGAATAAATATTGTTTTCAAAAAGTGAGTTTTTCCTTCTCCGTCACTGTCCGGTAGAGGATCCAAGAACCCTGTTAGTATATCGGGGACTTCCATCAGCCACTAGCCACGCACAAAAATACGATAACTTTGAATATATCGTGCCATCCGATTGGCCGGTCGCTGTCTCACGCGATTATTGATGATGTGCTCGTCGTGTCACAACAGATGGCAGTATGCATGTGTACGTGTCTCACAGGAGGGATGTACGGGGCTGTGCAGTGAGCTTATACACCATCTGACCTCACTTTACCATCTGAAGTTCCACCACACTCCTCTTGTGACAAGCTAAAAAAAAGTAGGGAATCATGAAACATAAAAAAATTTTATTATGTTAACATCAAAGACAAACTTCCTGTGCGACGTTGACGTCTTAACGCCAAAACACATGCTGTAGCTTGCCCGTGCCTCACGCACTGTCTCCACCACACACGGGCGTGGGGTGTCATTCCTTAAACATCACTTGACCTAACTTTACGCTCCAAAGTCCCGTTAAATTCCTCTTGTGCCAAGGGAATGTTTCAGACAGAAGCGGTCTCAGTCAGCGATTGATGTGAATATATGCCAGCGGCTGAAAGGCCAATCGCTGGACATTGCTGAAAAGCGATTGGCTTTTTGCAACCCACCCATGGCGACCATGAAAGTGAACAATGCTTTGCTGACCATTGTGACGTCATCGGTAACCATGACGTTTACTGATATAGTAACTTGATGTCCATTCGGGTGAGGTTCCCATTTACCTTCTGACCGTCGATGAAAGTGGGAACAATGTCACTTGTACCGTGACAAGCAAGTGCGGTCACACCAAACATCATGAAATCATTTTATATCCGGTCAGCGGACTTGTATGTAGGAGATATACATGCTGTACAGGCCAGTCAGCGGACTTGTATGTAGGAGATATACATACTGTACAGGCCAGTCAGCGGACTTGTATGTAGGAGATATACATGATGTACAGGCCGGTCAGGGGACTTGTATGTAGGAGATATACATGCTGTACAGGCCGGTCAGGGGACTTATATGTAGGAGATATACATGATGTACACGTCGGTCAGGGGACTTGTATGTAGGAGATATACATGCTGTACAGGCCAGTCACCGGACTTGTATGTAGGAGATATACCTGATGTACAGGCCGGTCAGCGGACTTGTATGTAGGAGATATACATGCTGTACAGGCCAGTCAGCGGACGTGTATGTAGGAGATATACATGATGTACAGGCCAGTCAGCGTACTTGTATGTAGGAGATATACATGCTGTACAGGCCAGTCAGCGTACTTGTATGTAGGAGATATACATGCTGTACAGGCCAGTCAGCGGACTTGTATGTAGGAGATATACATGATGTACAAGCCAGTCAGCGGACTTATATGTAGGAGATATACATGATGTACAGGCCGGTCAGGGGACTTGTATGTAGGAGATACACATGCTGTACAGGCCAGTCAGCGTACTTGTATGTAGGAGATATACATGCTGTACAGGCCAGTCAGCGGACTTGTATGTAGGAGATATACATGCTGTACAGGCCAGTCAGCGGACTTGTATGTAGGAGATATACATGATGTACAGGCCGGTCACCGGACTTGTATGTAGGAGATACACATGCTGTACAGGCCAGTCAGCGTACTTGTATGTAGGAGATATACATGCTGTACAGGACAGTCAGCGGACTTGTATGTAGGAGATATACATGATGTACAGGCCGGTCAGCGGACTTGTATGTAGGAGATACACATGCTGTACAGGCCAGTCAGCGTACTTGTATGTAGGAGATATACATGATGTACAGGCCAGTCAGCGGACTTGTATGTAGGAGATATACATGATGTACAGGCCGGTCACCGGACTTGTATGTAGGAGATACACATGCTGTACAGGCCAGTCAGCGTACTTGTATGTAGGAGATATACATGCTGTACAGGCCAGTCAGCGGACTTGTATGTAGGAGATATACATGATGTACAGGCCGGTCACCGGACTTGTATGTAGGAGATACACATGCTGTACAGGACAGTCAGCGGACTTGTATGTAGGAGATATACATGCTGTACAGGCCAGTCAGCGTACTTGTATGTAGGAGATATACATGCTGTACAGGACAGTCAGCGGACTTGTATGTAGGAGATATACATGCTGTACAGGACAGTCAGCGGACTTGTATGTAGGAGATATACATGATGTACAGGCCGGTCACCGGACTTGTATGTAGGAGATATACATGCTGTACAGGCCAGTCAGCGGACTTGTACGTAGGAGATATACATGATGTACAGGCTAGTCAGCGGACTTGTATGTAGAAGCGTGTGCTCTGTGATGAACTGCAGGTTGGAGCACGCTCCCATGGTGGCCACAGGAAGAAAAACTGAAGCTTCCTTGAAGGACTCTGGCACTGACCAAACTTCTTGGGAGCCTCTCGCCCAGGGCCGTTCAGCATGGCGTGGAGCATGCAACGCTCAGCACATCACGGACGCCAAAGCCTAATTAGTCATCGCTGAACCAACAGAGCCCCGGATGTAGATGGTCATCTTCTCTCACAACACTATCTGGAACATACCTGCCACCATCTGTCATTCTGTTTGAGTCACACATTGAATTAATTGCAGCGTATGGAACATAGCGCTGCGACGATTGTAAGTCAATGTTAAAGTATGGTCTTAGGGCTGAGGACCCGTGAAGATCCGGGGTAGAATATAGGCCTTCAGCAACCCATGCTTGCCGTACAAGGCGACTTTGCTTGTAAGAGGCGACTAACGGGATTGGATAGTCAGGCTCGCTGACTTGGTTGATGCATGTCATCGTATCCAAATTGCGTGGATCGACCCTCATGATGTCAATCACTGGATTGTCTGGTCCAGAATCTTAGAGCTGAGATCGCTTTGTGCTTGTGGGCCTGGACTTACACGGTGGCGGAAGACACGGGAGACAGATGTCTTGACGTGGAATTGTTGTAAACAAGGACAAATATGCAAACGGAAATTCTATTCATCAGTTAATTCTATCTGCTCATTGCACATGTGAATCACCCAGAACATAAAACGTTTTCTTTCGGTCTGTCTACCTTCACTTGTAAACATCAATCAATGCAGTTCCCGTACGTGGGTCTCACTGTACCTCACGAGACTCACATGTAGCTACTTCCGAGCAATCCTCGGTCACTATGATTAGATTTACCGAGACGCCTGTTTTACAGTCGATACAAACTATCCAGTAACAGGATATATATATATATATATATATATATTTTTTAAAGCAATTAACCGAGGTGTTTATATTTACGAAGCTGCAATGGCGTTAATATCGTGATTTTCCTTAAGAAGACTGATTGAAAATGTAATCCACATTAAAACTTATTAATGTATTACATGTTTCGAATCTAACACATGATAATGATAAGGATTACACATTTTTATGTCTGTTTGTTGCTTAAAGCCCCACTCAGCAATATCCCATCTATATGACGGCAGTCTGTAAATAACCGAGTCTGGACCAGACAATCCAGTGATTGACATCATAAGCATCGATCCACGGAATTGGGATACGATGACATGCATCAACCAAGTCAGCGAGTCGGACCACCCGATCCCGTTAGTCGACAAGCATGGTCGCCTTTTACATGGGTTGCTGAACACCTATTCTACCCCGGATCTTCACGGGTTGAAAACGCAGATTGTATTATTGTCAAGTAAAACATAATCCAATGCATTTTTTCAGTGAACAGTTGAATCTTTTTTATATAAATGTACGCGAAAGATTTCATTATATTCTATAAATAACAAGAACTACCGCAATGTTTTTAACAACAAAACTCCACCGACAAACCCATGAATTTCAATAACTGTGAGTCATACAAGTGTCTGTTCCCCCTTCAAGTAATCACACAACCTCACCCAAATGTATTTTGACATCAACAAAAGCCGATAAATACAGGTTGTCACGCAAGTACGTTTTCGGATGATAAAAATCCTGTATTAGTAAAAAAACAGTGTTTTTAGCGACCCTTGGGCTAATACAGGAAATTTACCATCCCAAAACACACAAGGGTGATAATGTCTTTCCTAAATTCTGTCAGCGAAAAATATGTTCTCATCTCCCACACACATTACCTAATCATTGCAACTTTTCCTGGAATGTGCCCATTAATACATGTATAGAGTACGTCTGAAGGTCGGTTATTCGTCAGTCGGACAGTTATAACAGTCAATATTGTTCCAACTGAAACGTGTTTCTTAGACAGTGGCGTAACTATATTTGAACCATGGCTGCTTTGTCTTTGACCGTGGTTTAACTAACTGAATTGGTAGTTGAACACCACTTGGCAATGACGGAACTTCTTTCTTCCTCTATCTTTTGTCTTTGTGATAGAACAATTTTATGAAATACGTTTGTCGCCAGAACCACTCTCAAATAGCATCGTAGCCAGCCCCCTTCAGTGTGGGACCAAACAACATTATTGCCCCCTTCATTTTGTGACCCAACAACGCCATAGAAGAACCACGATAACACAGCACAGTAGCCAACCCCCTTCATTGTGTGACCCAACAACGCCATAGAAGAACCGCGATAACACAGCACAGTAGCCAGCCCCCTTCATTGTGTGACCCAACAACGTCATAGAAGAACCGCGATAACACAGCACAGTAGCCAGCCCCCTTCATTGTGTGACCCAACAACGCCATAGAAGAACCGCGATAACACAGCACAGTAGCCAACCCCCTTCATTGTGTGACCCAACAACGCCATAGAAGAACCGCGATAACACAGCACAGTAGCCAACCCCCTTCATTGTGTGACCCAACAACGCCATAGAACAGCGATAACACAGCACAGTAGCCAACCCCCTTCATTGTGTGACCCAACAACGCCATAGAAGAACCGCGACAACACAGCACAGTAGCCAGCCCCCTTCATTGTGTGACCCAACAACGCCATAGAAGAACCGCAATAACAGAGCACAGTAGCCAGCCCCCTTCATTGTGTGACCCAACAATGCCATAGAAGAACCGCGATAACACAGCACAGTAGCCAGCCCCCTTCATTGTGTGACCCAACAACGCCATAGAAGAACCGCGATAACACAGCACAGTAGCCAGCCCCCTTCATTGTGTGACCAAACAACGTCATAGAAGAACCGCGATAACACAGCACAGTAGCCAGCCCCCTTCATTGTGTGACCAAACAACGCCATAGAAGAACCGCGATAACAAAGCACAGTAGCCAGCCCCCTTCATTGTGTGACAGAACAACGCCATAGAAGAACCGCGATAACACAGCACAGTAGCCAGCCCCCTTCATTGTGTGACCCAACAACGCCATAGAAGAACCGCGATAACACAGCACAGTAGCCAACCCCCTTCATTGTGTGACCCAACAATGCCATAGAAGAACCGCGATAACACAGCACAGTAGCCAAACCCCTTCATTGTTGGACAGAACAATGCTATAGAAGAACAACTGGGTGGGTCAGTAGGTCAGTGTACGCGTCAGGGGTTTTCTTACATCAACACTAGGTCCGGTTTGAAAGCCTGAAAGCGTTCTACAAGCTGATGGAAAACATGCCTGGTCCGTACGTGGAATCAGTCACATGTTCCCAAAAGCTCTCTGACTAGAACTGGTGTACATGATTACAGATCGTGAGTTGCCTCCCTTAGCTGGCAGTATCTGCTGTTCGTTGGTTCGAATCCAAGATTCGACCAGAAATATCCTCCCTGGTCTGTCAGCACCAGACCCAGGCTCGTGCAGTACACAGTTACAACCTGCGTCACTCACACGAGAAAATCAACAACCAATCACATGATCGGGCAAAAGGAACGGATATTTGTTTCCGGGTGCTTAATTGTGAGGGCACTTCGTTATAACACTTGTCGGAAAATATCTGATGAAATGTTGTCAAATACAAAGATAGGAAAATATGAAGGATAAACCTAAACTACATCATTATTCGTTCATGTACATCCTCAACAAAATAGGACTACAACAATTAGCGTTATAACGAGGTACACATGTGCACTTCAAGACGAGCGTGTCAGTTTCATTCAGAATACGGATTTCTTAACACAGTCAGCAAACACAAATGCTTATATGTACTAAATGTTTTTGTGACTTCGTAAATGAATATTCCCAATACTGATCCTTTTTGACAAATTCCTCCATCCGTCCACGCGTTCGTGGGTTTCTGTTCAACTTTTCTATGGGATTATCTGAGATGGTGGTCTTGCTTCCAAGTATCTTCATGCCTGGGCAACCAAGAGGAACAATCACGGAAATACATCAGTGAGTAGCTACCTCATCCCACATGTTACGCTGAAAGTGCGACAAATGTATATTTAGCCGAGGGACACCCCACCGGATTTGTTAGTGTATATAATGTGCCACCACTTGTTGACAGACAGACCACACTCCACCGCCAGGCAAAACATCAAACGTTTGCTGTTCACAGATCATTTCCCACTTCAGTGAAAGTTTAAGTACTCGATTACCAACATGATTCATGAGCTGTGTGTTCTGATCTGCGTAGCGATCCTCTCTGCGTCCGCTCTACCTGTCAACGACGCCTGGAAACACGTGGTCAGACAACGTCGTAACGCTGCCAACTGTCAACCACCTCAAGATATCAACCAACTCTTCCAAAGTCTCAACGCCAACACCGACACCTCCATCTTTCTTCGTAACGCTCAGGGTGCCAGACCGGGGTCATATTTACACAGCGAGCTGAACACCGACCAGGTGTTCGACAGTTCCCACCTCGGAGGCATCACCTGTCCCAGTAGCGTCAGTGACGACCCCCAGGACCCCCTGTGGATGAGGTCCCTCTGTCCCTGGTACTACAACGTCACCGATCTGCCCGCCGGTCACTACCCAAGTGCCATCCCCCAGGCCGTGTGTAAATGTGACAAATGCGTTGACAATAACCAAAACCAGTGCGAGAGAGTTTCCACTCAAATCCGAGTTTTAGAAGAAACTGGCTGTGAAAATGGTTTCTTTATCTACAAGCCCAAAATCGTCACCCATTTCGTCGGGTGCACTTGTGCCAAACGCCGGACACCAACAGTAGGTTCGAACACTGCCCCAACAGCATCAGACAGTGAAAGCAGTTGTGGGGATTTTGGATGTGCCCCCTAAACGAGAGACTCGTAGACGATGTCGCCAATTGATGGTGTCATTTTCCAATGGACTATTTCCAGTGAGGAAATACCGTGTTAGTCAGTGTCTGACAACTATCCCGTTTAGGTAGAAAGGTGTTGTACAAAAGCTGCATTTCCGTCCATGTATGAAATGCCTTATTTCTTCATACATCACCACGACATTAACTCAGTCCATTTCATTCATTTATTTATTTATTCATTTATTTATTTATAAGTGTTTGTATATGCTTTATTTTTTATGAATGTGTGTATTTTGAATATTCACAATTATGTATTTATTGCCATATGCTTATTGTGATATTTATTGTTGACGACGCATCAAATGGAAAATTGGACTAATATCTGTTAATCACCACATTAATTCAGTCCACTGTTGTTGATTTATAATTACATAATTAAATAATTTATTGTACGATTATATATGTTGAAATACTTAATGAGAATGTGTGGATTTTACATGTTCACGGTCATAAATTTATCGCCCCATGCATCAGGAAATGTATCGTTTTTACAACGCATCAAGTTGAAAATTAGACCTACATCTGTATCAATGTTGCTTATTGCTCAAACCCATGTCATTTTCTTCAAGATCATCATCAGACACCCAATGTCATTCCATTCACCTAACCTCTATACATTTAGATTGTTATTTTCTTGTTGACACATTGAATAAATATTGTTTATCAAAAGAGAGTTTTTTCCTTCTCCGTCACTGTCCGGTAGAGGATCCAAGAACCCTGTTAGTATATCGGGGACTTCCATCAGCCACTAGCCACGCACAAAAATACGATAACTTTGAATATATCGTGCCATCCGATTGGCCGGTCGCTGTCTCACGCGATTATTGATGATGTGCTCGTCGTGTCACAACAGATGGCAGTATGCATGTGTACGTGTCTCACAGGAGGGATGTACGGGGCTGTGCAGTGAGCTTATACACCATCTGACCTCACTTTACCATCTGAAGTTCCACCACACTCCTCTTGTGACAAGCGAGACGATGTTATTATAATGAATTCTCGGGCTATTCTAAAAAAAAGTAGGGAATCATGAAAAATAAAAAAAAAATATTATGTTAACAACAAAGACAAACTTCCTGTGCGACGTTGACGTCTTAACGCCAAAACACATGCTGTAGCTTGCCCGTGCCTCACGCACTTTCTCCACACACGGGCGTGGGGTGTCATTCCTTAAACATCACTTGACCTAACTTTACGCTCCAAAGTCCCGTTAAATTCCTCTTGTGCCAAGGGAATGTTTCAGACAGAAGCGGTCTCAGTCAGCGATTGATGTGAATATATGCCAGCGGCTGAAAGGCCAATCGCTGGACATTGCTGGTAAGCGATTGGCTTTTTGCAACCCACCCATGGCGACCATGAAAGTGAACAATGCTTTGCTGACCATTGTGACGTCATCGGTAACCATGACGTTTATTGATATAGTTGATGTCCATTCGGGTGAGGTTCCCATTTACCTTCTGACCGTCGATGAAAGTGGGAACAATGTCACTTGTAACGTGACAAGCAAGTGACGTCACACCAAACATTGAAATCATTTTATATCCGTTCAGCGGACTTGTTGTAGTAGATATACATGCTGTACAGGCCGGTCAGCGGACTTGTATGTAGGAGATATACATGCAGTACACGTCGGTCAGCGGACTTGTATGTAGGAGATATACATACTGTACACGTTGGCCAGCGGACTTGTATGTAGGAGATATACATGCAGTACACGTCGGTCAGTGGACTTGTATGTAGGAGATATACATGCAGTACACGTCGGTCAGCGACTTGTATGTAGGAGATATACATGCTGTACAGGCCAGTCAGCGGACTTGTATGTAGGAGATATACATGCTGTACAGGCCAGTCAGCGGACTTGTATGTAGGAGATATACATGCTGTACACGTTGGTCAGCGGACTTGTATGTAGGAGATATACATGCTGTACACGTTGGTCAGCGGACTTGTATGTAGGAGATATACATGCTGTACAGGCCAGTCAGCGGACTTGTATGTAGGAGATATACATGCTGTACAGGCAGGTCACCGGACTTGTATGTAGGGGATATACATGATGTACAGGACAGTCAGCGGACTTGTATGTAGGAGATATACATGCTGTACAGGCCGGTCAGCGGACTTGTATGTAGGAGATATACATGCTGTATAAGCCAGTCAGCGGACTTGTATGTAGGAGATATACATGATGTACAGGCTAGTCAGCGGACTTGTATGTAGAAGCGTGTGCTCTGTGATGAACTGCAGGTTGGAGCACGCTCCCATGGTGGCCAGAAGAAGAAACTCTGAAGCTTCCTTTAAGGACTCTGGCACTGACCAAACTTCTTGGGAGCCTCTCGCCCAGGGCCGTTCAGCATGGCGTGGAGCATGCAACGCTCAGCACATCACGGACGCCAAAGCCTAATTAGTCATCGCTGAACCAACAGAGCCCCGGATGTAGATGGTCATCTTCTCTCACAACACTATCTGGAACATACCTGCCACCATCTGTCATTCTGTTTGAGTCACACATTGAATTAATTGCAGCGTATGGAACATAGCGCTGCGACGATTGTAAGTCAATGTTAAAGTATGGTCTTAGGGCTGAGGACCCGTGAAGATCCGGGGTAGAATATAGGCCTTCAGCAACCCATGCTTGCCGTACAAGGCGACTTTGCTTGTAAGAGGCGACTAACGGGATTGGATAGTCAGGCTCGCTGACTTGGTTGATGCATGTCATCGTATCCAAATTGCGTGGATCGACCCTCATGATGTCAATCACTGGATTGTCTTGTCCAGAATCTTAGAGCTGAGATCGCTTTGTGCTTGTGGGCCTGGACTTACACGGTGGCGGAAGACACGGGAGACAGATGTCTTGACGTGGAATTGTTGTAAACAAGGACAAATATGCAAACGGAAATTCTATTCATCAGTTAATTCCATCTGCTCATTGCACATGTGAATCACCCAGAACATAAAACGTTTTCTTTCGGTCTGTCTACCTTCACTTGTAAACATCAATCAATGCAGTTCCCGTACGTGGGTCTCACTGTACCTCACGAGACTCACATGTAGCTACTTCCGAGCAATCCTCGGTCACTATGATTAGATTTACCGAGACGCCTGTTTTACAGTCGATACAAACTATCCAGTAACAGGATATATATATTTTTTTATTTTTTTTTAAAGCAATTAACCGAGGTGTTTATATTTACGAAGCTGCAATTGCGTTAATATCGTGATTTTCCTTAAGAAGACTGATTGAAAATGTAATCCACATTAAAACTTATTAATGTATTACATGTTTCGAATCTAACACATGATAATGATAAGGATTACACATTTTTATGTCTGTTTGTTGCTTAAAGCCCCACTCAGCAATATCCCATCTATATGACGACAGTCTGTAAATAACTTAGTCTGGACCAGACAATCCAGTGATTGACATCATAAGCATCGATCCACGGAATTGGGATACGATGACATGCATCAACCAAGTCAGCGAGTCGGACCACCCGATCCCGTTAGTCGACAAGCATGGTCGCCTTTTACATGGGTTGCTGAACACCTATTCTAACCCGGATCTTCACGGGTTGAAAACGCAGATTCTTTTATTGTGAAGTAAAACATAATCCAATGCATTTTTTCAGTGAACAGTTGAACCTTTTTTATATAAATGTACGCGAAAGATGTCATTATATTTTATAAAAAACAAGAACTACCGCAATGTTTTTAACAACAAAACTCCAAAACTCTGTGAGTCATACAAGTGTCTGTTCACCCTTCAAGTAATCACACTGAGATTCCGTCGGCGGTCCGAAGACAAATGGAGAACCTCACCCAAATGTATTTTGACATCAACAAAAGCCGATAAATACAGGTTGTCACGCGAGTGCGTTTTGGGATGGTAAAAATCCTGTATTAGTAAAAAAACAGTGTATTTAGCGAGCCTTGGGCTAATACAGGATATTTACCATCCCAAAACACACAAGGGTGATAACGTCTTTCCTAAATTCTGTCAGCGAAAAAAATGTTCTCATCTCCCACAAACATACCTAATCATTGCAAGTTTTCCTGGAATGTGCCCATCAATACATGTATAGAGTACGTCATAAGGTCGGTTATTCGTCAGTCGGACAGTTATAACAGTCAATATTGTTCCAACTGAAACGTGTTTCTTAGACAGTGGCGTAACAATATTTGAACCATGGCTGCTTTGTCTTTGACCGTGGTTTAACTAACTGAATTGTTAGTTGAACACCACTTGGCAATGACGGAACTTCTTTTTTCCTCTATCTTTTGTCTTGATGATAGAACAATTTTATGAAAAACGTTTATCGCCAGCGGGATTCGAACCCAAGAAGTCCGCACTTTAGGCTAACGAATGTAGTCTTCTGCCACGGCGACATGGGAGATAGGGTATGAAATTAACAACTAGATATTTACTTACATCAGTACCAATTGCTTATCCCTATATGAATTGCGAAATGTTTTTTATGCAACTTTTATACAATATGTTATTCTATGCATTCTAGTATTTGTACAGTACTTGTGATTTTGTAGCTTTTCGTTCAACGAAACGAACAGAAAGAAAAGAAATTACTATTATCTTGATCAGGGCTACATTTACTCATAATAGGCCCATCAACATGGGCAAGTAATATTTAGTTGATTGATAAATGTGCTCGAGTTGGTCCAAATGAATGGTATACTTGCCCCGTGACATGCATTTCATAACCCAAATCGGCAAAGTGCGAGGTGCACGTGCAAAAGGCTCGGGGAACACCTTTCACGTGCTTCACGCAGGGCCGACTCACACAGTGTACTCACAGCTGAGCATAGAGTTCCTGAATATCTTCAAAATACCTTAAAACAATGTTTAAGAATTTTAGGTGCCATAAATGTTGGACATGGTTTAAGTATGTTAGACCACTCGGACCCCAGTGTCTAATCGTTGAAATGGTTGATTAAACCACGTGGTTTAAATAACCATTTCAACAATTAGACACTAGGTCCTCGTGGTCTAATCTATACATAGGCAAAGTAACAATTGCCTACATATGTAGTTTCTACTTGCCTTTCGCGGCAATCCATTGGCCCGCCCGCAAGAACAACTGTCCTTTATCAAAGGGAAAATATTCTAACCCTGGTCTATGTGACGTCACGTTTGTTACGAGTCTGCTTGTCCTGTCATAACGTTACAATGTTCAAAGTCAGATGTACAGACAATTCGAACATATTTCGGCCAAATCCAGCTTTTTGGTTAAATTGGGAAAAGGTTCCAAGTCGTAGAGGTCTACAAGAACAGACATATGCATGGAAACAGATCCCGCAAGGCTCGTGTCCTCGCTGAATTGTGTTCGCAATTTATATCTCCAAAGCTGCAAAAACTCAAAATGACTCAGCTACGTCACAGTTAGACACTGTTATTCAGTATATTAGACTATTCCCTTGACAATGATAGCAATTATCCCAGTAGTGTCTCCAGATTGCCGATGGTTAATTCTGAGTCGATTGACGAATGACAAGGGCGACGCCATGTTTGTTTATAAACACTGAAAGTAGTCCCTACTTGCTCTGTGATATTTGCACTCTCCTACCCAGAGTTCCATGCGGCCGGCAGCCAGCTAGCATAGTACCTCTGCCACAGGCCAGCGCCATGTGACGATTCGTCACATCTTTCACAGTCCATTCAAGATATTGCATATGCTTTTCATCCGTTTTATGTTTGACAAGTCTACACATTTTCATAAACAAATGTCAAAGAATGGTTAACTTTCATTGAGAAAGTTTGCAAATACGTAAAAATCTACTTGTTTTTGCGTAGTTATCCCATGTTTACATTGGTTGTATGGCTCCACGTGCTGTCATCGAAGCCCAACGGAGAGCTAGCGACACGGTCATTTTGATGCATAAATATATGTGGCCGATGTAGTTTTTGTATATATTTGTTTTAATTTCATTTTAGGTTTTTACGTATATTTATCATATATAACTAGTTGTCCGTTTCAGTCAGCTATAACAAAGTGTATCTGACCTGTCTTACCTACTAACTGCCCCATGGCCAGAAGCTTCATTTGCTGATTGGCCAAGCTAACACCTATTGTTAAACTGCATGCTTTGATTACACTGCATACTCTCTCAGCACATAAACTGACAGAACTGCTCAGACCAGCAAAGTGTAAAGAGAGAATATTAAATCAGGTGAGTTAAATAGTTATAATCTATATCTTGTGTTGTATTTAAATAATACAGTATGTTCAAAGTGTTATATGAAGTAAACTAAATGTATGTAATCTAACATAAATGTTTATTTATGTCTAAATATTTAAATCTGCATAGGATAAGCTAAACATCCATACTTTATCACTAAAATGTATTCTATCACTTCAATGAAATATGTGTGAAAGTGTTTTACCTCAAGAGTGTTTTAATAAGCTTTGTAATGTAGAGATTTAGATGTGATACAATGCAAATCATTGTAAAGAAAATGTGTGTATTACTTTGTTCAATATATTAAATGTTAAATAGTGTTTTAGTCTATGTATTGTTTATTCAGATAATCTATGGTGTTGCCATATAGGCAGTTGGGATCCACACCCTTGTATCACCCACAGGGTATGCATTGTGTTATTTATATTTGTCTAAGACTTACAATGTAATCTAATTGTGATAACCACATTTAATGTAATATCATATCATTAATTTCTGTCTTAAAGTATTGTATATGTTTATGCAGAATGTGTAAGCGTTATGCATTTATATTATGTATATATATTGTGTATATATTATAGTCAAATGAAAGTCAAGGAGTTATCTCCCTTGAAGGTCGGTATTGTTGATCATGTACATACTGTATATGTTCTAGTTATAATCGTTTAAGGTTCAGTCTATCTTGTGTTTAATGGATGACTAATATATGTAAATAATTACTTGTACTAAGCCTATGCTGTGTATCTAGCATTAATGATAATGTTTTACTTAGTATTTATTGTGTTATTATGTGTTTCAGGGTGTATGATATATAGATCCTTATCACACTCGACGCATCGCAATAAAGACCTCAACCCCGCAGCATGTGTTTGTTCGCTATAAAAAGACCTTCACTAAACTGCTACATATATATTGTCATGCAACGCACTGTCGCAGTTGTAGTAGCATATCTATATAGTTATACAAAACAATATGTAAAGCGCCCCCAAATACTTGCATAAGTCCGTTCTATACTGATTTCTGAAAAAGCGCATTTGTTTACAAACAAGAGAAAAGTCCGGTCACGTGATATGCAAATTAGCCTGTGGCAGTGGTGTTATGCTGAGTCACCACTGCGAACGGAGTGTGTGATATTTGCATATGACCCCAACGGATATCGTTTTCATCCGTTGGCTTTATACTGCCGGGAAACCAACCCATTATATGATAACACCCCGTACATCCATCCTGTGAGACGATGTACGATGCTCTACTGCTATCTGTAGTGACGCGTCGAGTATGTGACGTCACATAAATAAAAATGGCGTCAGTTTGGAAAGACATCGACTTGGCAATGGTATATTTGTATGTGGCTAGTGGCTGATGGAAGTCTCCGATATACTAACAGGATTCTTGGATCCTCTACCGGACAGTGGCGGAGAAGGAAAAACTCTCTCTTCGAAAACAATATTTATTCAACATGTCAACAATAAAAATAACAACCTAAACGTATATAAATTGGGTGAATGGAATGAACATGTGTTTGAGCTATAAACAAACATTCATACAGACATCGGTCCAAGTTTTAACCTAATGCGTTGTAAAAACAATATAATATCAAAATAATAATGCAATAAATGCATCACTGTAAAAATCCACACATTCACAAAAAGTATAACATACACAATAATTTATGAATATGTAAATGGAATTGGATTCCATTAATGTGGGGTGATATTAGTTCAACATTCAACTTGATGCGTTGTCAACAATAAATATCACAATAAACACATTGCAATAAATGCATAATTGTAAATATTCAAAATACACACATTTCTAATAGATTAAGCACATTCAATAAATAAACGAAAATGGACTGAATTAATGTCGTGGTGATGTATGAAGAAATAAGGCATTTCATACATGGACGGAAATGCAGCTTTTGTACAACACCTTTCTACCTAAACGGGATAGTTGTCAGACACTGACTAACACGGTATTTCCTCACTGGAAATAGTCCATTGGAAAATGACACCATCAATTGGCGACATCGTCTACGAGTCTCTCGTTTAGGGGGCACATCCAAAATCCCCACAACTACTTTCACTGCCTGATGCTGTTGGGGCAGTGTTCGAACCTACTGTTGGTGTCCGGCGTTTGGCACAAGTGCACCCAACGAAATGGGTGACGAGTTTGGGCTTGTAGATAAAGAAACCATTTTCACAGCCAGTTTCTTCTAAAACTCGGATTTGAGTGGAAACTCTCTCGCACTGGTTTTGGTTATTGTCAACGCATTTGTCACACTTACACACGGCCTGGGGGATGGCACTTGGGTAGTGACCGGCGGGCAGATCGGTGACGTTGTAGTACCAGGGACAGAGGGACCTCATCCACAGGGGGTCCTGAGGGTCGTCACTGACGCTGCTGGGACAGGTGATGCCTCCGAGGTGGGAACTGTCGAACACCTGGTCGGTGTTCAGCTCGCTGTGTAAATATGACCCCGGTCTGGCACCCTGAGCGTTACGAAGAAAGATGGAGGTGTCGGTGTTGGCGTTGAGACTTTGGAAGAGTTGGTTGATATCTTGAGGTGGTTGACAGTTGGCAGCGTTACGACGTTGTCTGACCACGTGTTTCCAGGCGTCGTTGACAGGTAGAGCGGACGCAGAGAGGATCCCTACGCATATCAGAACACACAGCTCATAAATCATGATGGAAATCGAGTACTTAAACTTTCGCTGAAGTGGGAAATGATCTGTGAACAGCAAACGTTTGATGTTTTGCCTGGCGGTGGAGTGTGGTCTGTCTGTCAACAAGTGGTGGCACATTATATACACTAACAAATCCGGTGGGGTGTCCCTCGGCTAAATATACATTTGTCGCACTTTCAGCGTAACATGTGGGATGAGGTAGCTACTCTGATGTATTTCCGTGATTGTTCCTCTTGGTTGTCCAGGCATGAAGATACTATGTAGCAAGACCACCATCTCAAATAATCCCATGGAAAGTTGAGCAGAAACCCACGAACGCGTGGACGGATGGAGGAATTTGTCAATGAGGATCAGTATTGGCAATATTCATTAACGAAGTCACAAAAACATCCACCTTCAGTACATATAAGCATTTGTGTTTGCTTACTGTGTTAACAAATCCGTATTCTGAATGAAACTGACACGCTCGTCTTGAAGTACACCTCGTTATAACGCTGATTATTGTAGTCATAATTTATGTTTGTTGAGGATGTACATGTACGTATAGTGGTGTAGTTTAGGTTTATCCTCCATATTTTCCTATCTTCGTATTTGTCAACATTTCATCAGATATTTTCCGACAAGTGTTATAACGAAGTGCCCTCACAATTAAGCACCCGGAAACAAATATCCGTGCATTCTGCCCGATCATGTGATTGGTTGTTGATTTTCTCGTGTGAGTGACGCAGGTTGTAACTGTGTACTGCACGAGCCTGGGTCTGGTGCTGACAGACCAGGGAGGATATTTCCTGGCGAATCTTGGATTCGAACCAACGAACAGCGGATACTGCCAGCTAAGGGAGGCAACTCTCGATCTGTAATCATGTACACCAGTTTTAGTCAGAGCGCTTTTGGGAACATGTGACTGATTCCACGTACGGACCAGGCATGTTTTCCATCAGCTTGTAGAACGCATTCATCCTTTTTCAGAAAATTATACTTTGTCAGATGCAAGCTTCGCCTGTATCTATTAAGTGAATATTGTCAGTCTTCTGCATAAATCGGGCTTCCAAGCCGGACCTATGGTTGATGTAAGGAGACCTCTGATGTGTACATTGACCTACTGACCCACCCAGTGGTTCTTCTATAGCATTGTTCTGTCCCACAATGAAGGGGGCTGGCTACTGTGCTATTGTATAGTGGTTCTTCTATAGTGTTGTTGTGTCACACACTGAAGGGGGCTGGCTACTGTGCTATTGTATAGTGGTTGTTCTATAGCGTTGTTCTGTCCCACAACGAAGGGGGCTGGATACTGTGCTATTTCATAGTGGTTATTCTATAGCGTTGTTCTGTCCCACAATGAAGGCGGCTGGCTACTGTGCTATTGTATAGTGGTTCTTCTATAGCGTTGTTCTGTCCCACAATGAAGGGGGCTGGCTACTGTGCTATTGTATAGTGGTTCTTCTATAGCGTTGTTCTGTCCCACAATGAAGGGGGCTGGCTACTGTGCTATTGTATAGTGGTTCTTCTATAGTGTTGTTGTGTCACACACTGAAGGGGACTGGCTACTGTGCTATTGTATAGTGGTTCTTCTATAGCGTTGTTCTGTCCCACAATGAAGGCGGCTGGCTACTGTGCTATTTCATAGTGGTTGTTCTATAGCGTTGTTCTGTCCCACAATGAAGGGGGCTGGCTACTGTGCTATTGTATAGTGGTTCTTCTATAGCGTTGTTCTGTCCCACAACGAAGGGGGCTGGCTACTGTGCTATTGTATAGTGGTTCTTCTATAGTGTTGTTGTGTCACACACTGAAGGGGGCTGGCTACTGTGCTATTGTATAGTGGTTCTTCTATAGCGTTGTTCTGTCCCACAATGAAGGGGGCTGGCTACTGTGCTATTGTATAGTGGTTATTCTATAGTGTTGTTGGGTCACACAATGAAGGGGGCTGGCTACTGTGCTATTGTATAGTGGTTATTCTATGGCGTTGTTCTGTCACACACTGAAGGGGGCTGGCTACTGTGTAAACAGTCGCCGAGACATTCCAAGGGTCCATTCAATCAATCAATCAATCAATCAATCAATCAATCAATCAATCAAGTCATATCAAGTCATATCAAGTCATATCAAGTCATATCAATCAAGTCATATCAATCACTCAAGTCCTATCAATCAGTCAAGTCCTATCAATCAATCAAATCTTATCAATCAATCAAATCCTATCAATCAGTCAATCACATAAAGTCCGAGTGATGACTGGGTACTCTGATATCTTCTACTGAACATGGACGAAGTAGGAAGGCTTCCATCTAGAAAACAACATTTATTCAAAATGACAAAAGTAACTGTAATAGCTCACAACTGGTTCTTGATTGAAGGACATTACGTAGCTAATACTTTAGGTTTGATTCCCCACATGGGTACGATACGTGAAGACGTAATATTGTTAGAATATTATTAAAGGTCACTCACTCACTCACTCACTCACTCACTCACTCACTCACTCACTCAATCACTCACTCACTCACTCACCCACTCACCCACTCACTCACTCACTCACTCACTCACTCACTCACTCACTGAGCAAGTAAATACCTAAGTACCTGAGCTTGTAAGTTTTCTCAGCGGAAGGTTGCGACTTCGTCTACGAGTCTCTCGTTTAAGGGGCACAGGACCTATCCGTACAGGTGCTTCCACTGCCTGATGATGCCAAGGCTATGTCGAGCCTTCTGTTGTTGTCCGGCGTTTGGTATACACATATACACATACTCTGTACACCCTATATATACATATACACATACACTGAACACCCTATATATACATATACACATACTCTGTACACCCTAAATATACATATACACATACTCTATACACGCTATATAAACATAAACACATACTCTGTACACCCTATATATACATATACACATACTCTGTATACCTATATATACATATACACATACTCTGTACACCCTATATACTCATATACACATACCCTGTACATCCTATATACACATATACACATACACTGTACACCCTATATATACATATACACATACTCTGTACACCCTATATATATATATACACATACTCTGTACACCCTATATAAACATATACACATACTCTGTACTCCCTATATATACATATACACATACTCTGTACACCCTATATATACATATACACATACTCCCTACACCCTATATAAACATATACACATACTCTGTAACCCTATATAGACATATATACATAGTCTGTACACCTTACATATACATATACACATACACTGTACACCCTATATAGACATATACACACACTCTGTACACCCTATATATACACATACTCTGTACACCCTATATAAACATATACACATACTCTGTACATCCTACATAGACACATACACATACTCTGTACGCCCTATATATACACATACTCTGTACACCCTATATAAACATATACACATACTCTGTACACCCTATATAGACATATACACACACTCTGTACGCCCTATATATACATAAACACATACTCTGTACACGCTATATAAACATAAACACATACTCTGTACACCCTATATATACATATACACATACTCTGTACACCCTATATATACATATACACATACTCTGTACACCCTATATATAGATATACACATACTCTGTACACCCTATATACTCATATACACATACCCTGTACATCCTATATATACATATACACATACTCTGTACACCCTATATACTCATATACACATACCCTGTACATCCTATATACACATATACACATACACTGTACACCCTATATATACATATACACATACTCTGTACACCCTATATATAGATATACACATACTCTGTACACCCTATATAAACATATACACATACTCTGTACACCCTATATATACATATACACATACTCTGTACACGCTATATAAACATAAACACATACTCTGTACACCCTATATATACATATACACATACTCTGTACACGCTATATAAACATAAACACATACTCTGTACACCCTATATATACATACACATACTCTGTACACCCTATATAAACATATACACATACTCTGTACATCCTACATAGACACATACACATACTCTGTACACCCTATACATACATATACACATATTATGTTCACCCTATATATACATATACACATGCTCTGTACACCCTATATATACATATACACATGCTCTGTACACCCTATATATACATATACACATACTCTGTACACCCTATATATACATATACACATGCTCTGTACACCCTATATGGGGGGGGGCGGGGTTCTATACACTTTCTCATATTTATATGTAGATGAGGTGAGGTGAAAGGGTTTACTATGCCGCAGTTTAGCATGATTACCCCACTCAGACACACTAAATGTTCACTTAATTACAAGATGTTCTTCACAAGCTAATAGAAAACCTATTGTGAATACAAGCAGCTGCAATATCTATAACGTCAGTCGCCAGAATGAGTCAGGATTCGAACCCGGATCTCTGTTTAACGTGAGCACATCTCTGACGTCCACGCTGACCTACATGTGCCTCGGCGTTCTTCATGCAGGGGTTGTTCATGCAGCGTTGTTCTGTCTCGCTAAGTATCGAGGCAGCTATATGTTACAGCCAAGGCTTAAATTTGGTCAGTTTGTAACCGTGCTGAAATTTCTGTTATATGACAAATATATATAAATGAACATGTTTTTCGCGTGAGTTAAATATAAAGACTCATTGTATATTTACAAATTTTATTATTTCATCACTAAATACGTATTACATGTGAAGTCGCCATCATACAAGTAACCCCGACGCTATTTATGTTAGGGAGAATATACCCGTGAAGATCCGGGTTAGAACTGGTACACCTTCGGATGAAAGTGAATTACCTCTGCCGGTCTCTGCCTGTTGGCGCGAATGTCTTTTACATCTTCATAAACCCATGCTTACAAATATTCGTGTCGTAAGAAGCCACTGACGGGATCGGGTGGTCAGGTTCACTGACTTTACTGATGCATGTCATCGTATCCCAAGTACGTAGGTCGATGCTCATGATGTCAGTCACTGGATTATCTGGTCCAGATTTGATTATTTATAGCCCACGGTCATATAGCTGGAATATGTCGGTCTTACCCTCATGGTGCTTGGACGTCAGTCAGCCTGCATACCGCCCAGTGCCGCACTGTGATGACGTCGCTGTTTCAAAAACGTATACATTGTATCAAAAGTGTTACAACGTCTTTATTTCTTCACACAGTGTAACCAAATTGTATAACATGCAACTCGAGTTGATTGTCTTTCCATCAGTATCTAAAGTCACCAAATCCAAAAGATCTATGCATTGCCTAGCCATCGATAAAAGTGCTGGTATTATAAGTTTCCCTACTTTTCTACATTAATCGTAATATGGAAGCACCCGAATATGGCAAGCAAAGTCAAGTAAGCGCCCTTGTTTGAAATCTTAATGTCCAATAATTCATATCATTGGCAAGTACATGTCCTAACAGTGATAGACATATGACATTTATGTTGAAGTACACATTCACTGAGAATTTTCCGTGAGTTATATTTACCGATAAAAAATCCCGATGAAATTGTGCATGTTTTTGACGTCAAAACAAAATTGACGGAAGTGGTCGTGATAAATTCATACGCAGACAGTTTCAAAGATTATGTCACAATACGAATGACAGTTTGGAATGTATATCTTGAAGAAATCCCGGTTACGTCCAAGTATGTTTCAGTGACCGTGCTCTTTTATTAGTGATAAAAACAACTTCGGGGTAATTGACATCGTACATTTTCAAAGGACAAAATGTGAAAGATCGCTAAACAGCCCTAACAATACTCAAATTGACATCGCTGAATATCGGGCATCATTATTATTTCTTAATAATTAACAAGATTACACTAACGTTATACCACCCAAGAGTAAGTACATGTAGATTCAATCAAAATTGTTGAAACGTTTTCATGGGCAGCAAATCTATTCAACAAACCTATTTTCGCGACTCGGGCGCCATATGTCATTGTTTCACTATTAACACCAGAAAACATACATCCTCGTCTCAGCTAGTATTTCTCAGCTAGTATTTATCAAAATTCACAGTTTAAAAAGGGCATTTTCTCGGGACCATATATGGTCCCTTGGCACTAAGCGGGTGTGAAAAGTGAGGGACCATATATGGTCCCGTGGCACCAAGAGAGTTAAACAAACAAACCCAGAGAACAGCTTTATCACATGTGGTAAAACACGCTATCACCTGATCGCCACCTCATACCACGCCTCTTACAAGCAGCACAGGCAACCCATTCTAAACATCCGTATCAAAGATTGTCATGACTAGCCGGTGCAATAATATATCTTGTCATAAAACGGCGATCAGCTAGCTAGATTTAATAACTAATGACACAGTCAATGATTGCATCTTTACCCTGAGGTTAGGTAATCCTGTATGACAATTGGCCCTTGGCGTGACCTCTACGCGCATTGCACAAATCTAATTTGACGTGACAAGTATATAACGTCACATCAATCATAATGACGTCAGAATGGTCTTAGGCCCTCTACCGGACAGTGGCGGAGAAGGAAAAACTTTCTTTCAGAAAACAATATTTATTCAACACGTCAACAATAAAAGTAACAACCTAAATGTATATAAGTTGGATGAATGGAATGACTTTGAGTGTCTGGTGCTGACCTTGAAGAAAATTACATCTATTTCAGCAATAAACAAACATTCATACAGACATCGGTCCAAGTTTCAACTTGAGACACACACACACACACACACACACGCACGCACGCACACGCACACGCACACGCACACTATAAAGGCATGACTGTGAATATTCAAAATACACACATTCATAATATTTAAGCATATACAATGAATTTTTAATAAATAAATGAAAATAAACTCAATTAATGTCGTGGTGATGTATGAAGAAATAAGGCATTTCATACATGGACGGAAATGCAGCTTTTGAACAACACATTTCTACCTAAACGGGATAGTTGTCATCAATTGGCGACATCGTCTACGAGTCTCTCGTTTAGGGGGCACATCCATAATCCCCACAACTGCTTTCACTGCCTGATGCTGTTGGGGCGGTGTTCGAACCTACTGTTGGTGTCCGGCGTTTGGCACAAGTGCACCCAACGAAATGGGTGACGATTTTGGGCTTGTAGATAAAGAAACCATTTTCACTGCCAGTTTCTTCTAAAACTCGGATTTGAGTGGAAACTCTCTCGCACTGGTTTTGGTTATTGTCAACGCATTTGTCACACTTACACACGGCCTGGGGGATGGCACTTGGGTAGTGACCGGCGGGCAGATCGGTGACGTTGTAGTACCAGGGACAGAGGGACCTCTTCCACAGGGGGTCCTGAGGGTCGTCACTGACGCTGCTGGGACAGGTGATGCCTCCGAAGTGGGAACTGTCGGGCACCTGGTCGGTGTTCAGCCCGCTGTGTAAATATGACCCCGGTCTGGCACCCTGAGCGTTACGAAGAAAGATGGAGGTGTCGGTGTTGGCGTTGAGACTTTGGAAGAGTTGGTCGATATCTTGAGGTGGTTGACGGTTGGCAGCGTTACGACGTTGTCTGACCACGTGTTTCCAGGCGTCGTTGACAGGTAGAGCGGACGCAGAGAGGATCCCTACGCAGATCAGAACACACAGCTCATAAATCATGATGGAAATCGAGTTTGGAAAGTAAGATTTTTAGCAAAATTTGGTAAAGCAAACGCTCGATGTATAAGATCAAGGTGCTCTGGCAACGACCCGAGATGTGTTTTTTATACAATTCCTTGGGGCTTCCCCAGCATATTACAGCGGGCGTGATAGAACTGTGATATGTAGGGGGGCGTGATGGATTTCCGACACACTTCCCCTCAGACAAACGGACACAAGTGCAACATATTGACAACATAATGAGACACATATTAAAAATCCCACCGATAATTGAATTCTGAACGGATAGGGACGGAAATTCAGATTGCATGGCGGAATTTCGCAACGCGGATCTGTATCGGATATCTTTAAGATGTTCCTTCGCGATTAGCAAGAAGCTGAATTATGATGATGATGATGATGTTGCTACTTTTGTTTTGCACTTTACCTTAGTGTAAATATAAATTACAATTTGCTCTTACACGTTTTTCTTACCAGCTGCGACCTGTTTGTATAAAAAGTAATAGACAAACACGCAACCTTTATAGTGCTTTCATTTTAATGTCGATTACTTCAGCGAAGGGACCCGTGAAGATGCGGGGTAGAATAGGTCCTCAGCAACCCATGCATGTCGTAAAAGGCGACTATGCTTGTCGTAAGAGGCGACTAACGGGATCATGTGGTCAGGCTCGCTCACTTGGTTGATGCATGTCATTGATCCCAATTGCGTGGATCGATGTTCATGGTGTCAATCACTGGACTATCTGGTCCAGACTCGATTTTTGACAGACCGCCGTCATATTGCTGTAATATTGCTGAGTGTGGCGTTAAACAACAAACAAACAAACAAACAAACGTTAATCATTAAAGTACCGTTCCCCTTGCACTCGTCATGACATTTTTTAATCCGGGTTAGCGAGTAAAGGATATTGATGACACTGTGTTTGCGGGGACGCTCCCACCCAGACGCGTGACTTCCGGCCAGGCTGCGTTCACTAAAATACAGAGAGAAGAGAGAGCAAAATAGATTACAGAATAATTATATACAAATTCAATACATAAGTAAACCATGTAACCTCCAGCCATAGGGCTTATGAGTCACGATGAAAACATATAAAACATATCATTCATATATCAAGTATGAAGCTATAACAATTTCAGCACTATATAAGTTTTATTAAATTTAAATTCATATAAAAGATAATAATCGTTTATACATTACCAACAGGTTCTTAGGTAAACAATACTGTAAGTCGTCCGATTTCAATATAAAACATAACTTATCACCAAGGGTAAACAATACTGTAAGTCGTCCGATTTCAATATAAAACATAACTTATCATCAAGGGTATAAGAACTCTGGGAACATTTGAAGCTTCATCAAATAATTCATATCTTAAATCTTCATGAAAAGGACAACATATAAAAAAAGTGCTTTTCATCTTCAACAGTAAAGATATTTAAAACATTAAAGCAATATTTACAAATTCTATGACATAGTAGGGTTGGTGGTTTAGAATAGCGTCCAGTTTCTATAGCAAGGTGTAAACCTCCACATCGGAACAAAGCTAAAACACGGCGTTGGTCCTTATATCTAAGCTTAAAAACATAACTTTCAACATTCAAGTCTGATTTAAAAAGCCTGTATGTTCTTAACTTATTACCATTTATGGTATTTCTATCTTCCCAAATGTCATTTTCCCATTTTTGTTTGTCATCTTGTATGAGAATATCAAAGCATTTTTGTGTTCTTTATTTTGAGGGATGGAGGATAACAGGATGTTGTCTACATTGAACTTACAGACAAGTTTCTCAACTTTGCATCTCCATTGTGTTTTAAATCGTTTCGACATGTTGACATATTTTTACAAATTTTTGCTTATTTTACATGTATTTGCACTTGAATACTTAAAGAGGCACTGATCTAACGCAATTCACCGGACTGGTTGTTGCCTTTGTTATTGCTTTTTCCCCCGTGAGTATATCCGGATTATACGCAACGCAACTGAGCGTGACCAGAGACTGGGCTACCGTCTGCAAGGACAGCTAAATAAACTTGGCGACTGGAGGCAATATTTGTTTTACGCATTTTTGCATGAACACTGATTGGTAAACTGTGATCTATAAAGATTTCGACAAAGGGCGCATGTTAATTAATTTCTCCAGCCTAAACAAACAGACAAAAAGAACGGTGGAGCTCATCGGATGTCGTCATTTGGAAATACCCCAGATGGTTATAGTTTAATACTAAAAAAAGTATCCATGCAGTGAAAGCATTTTCGGATTTCGGATTGCGTCGATAATACGATTACTACTCCCTTGTTGTCATCCACGTTTTCTGGTATAACCCTTCACTTGTGTATTTGTCGTCATTCACTTGATGCTCAGTTAATGAATTTATTATAGGTACAATTAGTGGTAGCACCACTTAGATTACCTGACAAAGGTTCCCATTTGGCATTTATTGTGTCTGGGGTAGTTATTCAATCTAAATCCAGGTTTGAAGTGAGGTGAAATGTGTGTTATGTAAATATGCATAACGGATCGTTCCTAGTCATCAAAGGATTAACAGAAAATACGTTGATTGATTAATCACTGTTATCTTGCACAGTGGATGTGTCAAAAGTGAGTGTTTACATGTCTAGGTTTACTAAAACAAAGGGAATACACTCATATCATGGCGTGAAGTGCCGATGTAAAAACAACATACTTTGTTCAAAGGGTTAACTGATAATACGTTGATTGATTGATCATTGCTATCTATCACTCAATGCATTTTTTAGGAACCGTGGACGTTATGAAAATAGTTGTCACGTGGGCTTTCTCAGCCGACCTTTGAGACTTAACACCTATGTGAAACACCTGAAACTATCCAAGTGATCAGTTGAGAAACGAACACGGGTTATAATATCCCGAAACGATATATATCTTTTAAAATATTTGATTGTTACAGAGACACGTGATATCGAATAAGTTTCTTTCTACAGCTGCAGACGAGTGGGATATTGTTCCTTTGTGTGGATATTCACGGATACATTCCTCGAACAAGGAAGCTGCCTAACATTTATACGATTCGTTCTTGTTAATCTACGTCTTGGTTGGGAAATTCTTCAATGCGCGATAGACGTTGTTTTGACAGGTCTTTTCCTCTGTAAGCGTGTATATATTACCGTCAATTTGACTAAAAAATCTGTCCAGATTGACTAAAATTGATTAAGACGATCAAAAGGGCCTACAAACATCCCAACAGGTTATTATGTAGGATTAGAAGCCAAACAACATAGAAATGTACTTTTCAACGTAACATTTTCAGTCTCTTGGTGATGACATTAAACATCAAAATGTTTGGAATTCGTTATCATAATAATACAGATGGACATGTTTTTCAGTCACTTTGTAAAATAACTGAGTATTTAGGCGTTTAATAAATTTGAAAATGTTACACATTTTGACAGTAAAAAAATATACACACTATAAAAAAAGTAATGCTCAGGTGAAATATTTACTTTGTGTTGCAAGTCAAAATAATGTAAACGAATATCGCAAAATTACCAAGCAAGTGACTTCGTCACCATTACCGGTGCTACCCACAAAGATACATACATTTCCTTATTATCTCGAAAACTGTATTTCATTTTGTTGATCAATGTGACCATACGCCCTTATTACATCATATAATTATGTTATTCATGATACCTGTCAGCATTTACATAACGTTTTTAAACACAGAGCTGCACTCTTAAAGGATGAGTGATATTTATAGTTCACTCAAACATACTATTTATAATGTTAAACAACTGTTTGCAATATTTGAAACATGTACCACATTTTCTTGCAAAAGTATTAGGTCATCAGATAATTATGTTATTCATGATACTTGTCAGTATTTACATAAAGTTTATAAACACGGAGCTTCACTCTTAAATTATGAGTGATATTTATAGTTCAATGAAACATAATGTCTCAATGTTAAACAACTGTTGTCAACATTTGAAACATGTACCCACTTTCTTGCATATGATTGTACACCTGCCTTTATATTAGCGTAAGCGCAGTACATGTTAATAAAATCAAGCTTGTATTATGGGCCTTTGGCCTTTATACTTTAATAAAGAATCTGAATCTGAATTACTACCCATAAAAGTGACTAATGCGCTTACGAATGGCGCAGCAGAGGTCGCCAACTAGTCTAGATTTCTGCTATACATCCGGGTACTCACTGGGGAAAAACAATAACAAAGGCAACAACCAGTCCCGGGGAATTGCTTTAGATCAGTGCCCCTCCAAGAAAGAAGCGACATGCTTTGTTCTGCAATGTATTCATTTCTCTGTATGTGTTAATGCCCCATAAACGGGAGCCGTACAACAGGTTCAACCAAAATTCCATACAGCTTTTTAAACACATCATATGACATCCCGCCAGCAGCCTCAAACTCAGAAAATGAAGAGGACAGTGCTCTACTGGCGGATTTATACAGTTCTCTGTCAGATTTCTTCACATCAAGATGCTCGTTCAACCAGATACCAAAATTATAGATCTAGCTCGATTATATGTCTGTTGTTTCGAAATTTATACCTCCAAAGTAGCCAAAACTTATAAAATGCCTTAGCTACGTCACAGTTAGACACTGATTTTCAGTATATTAGACTGTTCTTTTGATAATGATAGCAATTATCCCTGTTGTTTATCCAGATTCCCGATGGTTAATTTTGACTCGATCGCCGAATGACGAGGACGACGCCATGTTTGTTTATAAACAGTGAAAGTAGTCCTACTTGACCTTTGATATTTGCATCTCTATCCGCATATGACCCCAACGGATATCTTTTTTATCCGTTGGCTTTATCCTGCCGAGAAACCTGCCCATTATATGATAAATACAGTTCTCTGTCAGATTTCTTCATATCAAGATGCTCGTTCAACCAGATACCAAGGTATCCATGACACTCAACATACTCAATGGTATTACCATAAGATTTGAAAACAAAATTAGATTTCGTCTTTGACGGACATTTAAAATGTACAATGTTTGTTTTACTTGCCCTTACAGTTAATTTCCAATGTTTGCACCACGCATCTAAAACATTCAACATTGTCTGCAAAGACGTTTCGTCAGGCGCTCTAAGCACTATATTATCTGCATACATTAAAACTGATATCACCACATCATCAAGTCAAGCACCGCATGTGAGTTTGGGCTAAGTCGTTTATATAAACAGCAAATAACGTTGGTGATAACTTGCACCCCTGTGTTATACAAGGCAAGGCTGGGAAAGCATCAGTAAAATGTTCACTGAATTTAACAACACAGTTAACATTATCATAAAGAGATGGGATGGCATTTAATATTTTGCCTCTTATACCAAGTTGGAACAATCTAAACCACAGGCATTCTCGATTAACAGTGTTGAATGTTTGTTTAAATCAACAAAGCAAGCAGAAAGATGATCAATTCAATCGCTGTTGGAACGGAAACCATTCTGTTCATCAAATGAAATGTCATTTTTCTCCAACCAATTTGCTTAAACGAGTGTTAAGAATATCTGCATAGATCTTGCCTAGAATTGCTATAAGGGTTATGCCCCGATATTCGGGTGGGTTACGAGGATCACTCATACCAGATTACCTTCATTCCACTTGGAGGGGACCTGTGAAGATCCGGGGTAGAATAGGTCTTCAGCAACCCATGCTTGCCGTAAAAGGAGACTATGTTTGTCGTAAAAGGCGACTAACGGGATCGGGTGGTCAGGCTCGCTGACTTGGTTGATGCACGTCATCTAAGTAGATAACTTTGGATAACTATCCATCCACACATCCACATTTGATGACGTCACAAGTGCACCTAGTAACCTCACGTGACCGATGACGTCACATAACCTTGACCTTGGGGGGGTCAACGTCATTGCCTCATTAATATGCAGAATAACTCATTAATATGCAAATGTATGCATGACGTCACAGGTCAATTAGGTTAATAAAGGGTCAACTGACCAAATGCAATCATGCAATGAATGACTTGACCATTCGTTAACCGTAGAACAAGGGACACTGATGAATGTCCCTATATGGACATGATACTACGACCGGGGGTTGGGTTGGGTCTTGACTCACGCGGAATGGAATGTCATTGTGAGACCATTTTGGCACGAGAACATTTGGTGAATATTTGAACCTTTTGCGTTGAAGACATTTCTCTGTGGGCATTCGGTAGCGGGCTATGTGTGGTAATATTAAAAAGCCCAGGAACAGGTTCACGTAGAAAGATCTCCCGATATTCAATTACATTCATTAAGGGTCAACTGACCGGATGCAATCATGCAATTAATGACTTGACCATTCGTTAAACGTAGAACAACACGTGTCTAAAAACAATATGGCGGACGTTGCCATGAACGCTCACGGGCTGTCACGTGTCCTCGGTTTGAATCTCGCGCCTGACCTACAAGTCAGTTCTATGAGGCCCCATTCCACATCTCAGGCTACGTTGATCCATAAGTGCAATAACTAATTCATAGTCAAATATAATCATGACGTCACAGGTCAGAGAGGTCTGTTGTTCCAATGCACGAATGCAATGTGTCAATGAGTCCTTCATTAAGTGAGAACAAAGCATAGTAATGAGTGTCCTATATGGAAGTGGCTACTACGAGGTTCAAATACGATTCACGGGGGGAAAGGAATGTCATTGTTCGACATATTCCATTGATGCATGTATTTCGCGTAGTAATGACTGTCACGTGTGGCAAAGAAGGCTGTGAGTTGAATTTCAATAGAAACCACATGTCCAGTTCTTAACTCTTCTAGTGTTACCTATTATAAGTTCCTTGTAACATTCAGTTGCCATGACAACTAAATAAAAAAATAAGGGTTAACAGTCTTGACGCCAAGAGGTCAGCTCGGAGAACTATAGAGTCGGTATCGCGAAACCCGTGTGTTGAAGACTGTAATGTATGCCAGTCTGGCATATGACGTTTCAATACTGTAAAATTCTATTCTTTTTTCTAAAAGATGTTTGAGTTCAAAATGTCGATTCAGTTTCCTATTTCAATGGAAAAATACTCGTTTAACCCATACCAAGAATCATTTTCATGAGAAAAAATAGAGTGAAATAACGTTGTTTAGTAGATAACTTCTAAGAGATAAGATTACTTGAGCATTCATTAACAAAGAACAATGGATAGTAATGAATATCCTTATATGGAAACTTAGGTCACCAATCCCTCATTAATATGCAAGATAATTCATTAATGTGTAAATGTATAAGTGATGTATCAGGTTAATTAGATGAATACCGGGTCAACTGACCAGATGCAATTTACTTACATTAACAAAGAACAATGGATAGTAATGAATATCCTCATATGGAAACTTGACATCGCACGCGAAATGGAATGTTATTGCGACTGAATTTTGCCGCCTTTTTGCACCTTTTCTCCATGCTCATTCGGGGGGGCTGCGTCTGCTGAGATTATCAGCCCAGGAATAAGAGTGTGATCTATGTCAATATTTGTTATAAAACTCAACGGTAGTGTTGAGTGACTTACATTTTCACTCTAACCTTGCTGACAATATTGAAGACGGAATGAATGAGGAGAATGGAGGTGACGTGCTGCTGTGTCAGAGCCAGTCTTAGGTGAGTAATAATTTTAATCTAAATATTTTTACAAATTATTTACTGATATGTAATTAGTTACATTGAAATCTTTTTTCTTTCTTTCTCATCTGTCTACCTCTAATGCATATTTGTGTAAAGCATTTTTGTAATGTTATGTATGCATTTGTACACTATGCTTTTGACAAAATAATTCATATTATTAAACAGTTAAACTTAAAACAGATTCTTATTTTACTAATCCATTTGTAGAGTTTAATACCCAACAGAAATCAGATATAATCCTACTTCTTTTTTTGTTGTTGTTGATAAAACATCACTCGTTAAACATTTTACAAAGCAAGAAACAGAATATTCAAAGTGATTTCACAGACTATGCTTTGTTTTGCGAGCAGCGCACAACTTTTGAGTACATGCTATAGCATTGCGATTCCTGGTTGTAGATGGTATAGTCTGTTTCTGCATGATGTATGCATTTGTACGAAAAAAAATCTTGATTGTTTTTAGTATCTTATCAATTTCAACGAATTCTCATTTAGGGAAAAAAAAGTACATGTACAAATTTAATGTTCCCTTTGTTCCAGGATGTGTGCACCACAAATGGCGTCCCATTGAAGAACCATCATAATGAAGAGACATAGTGATGTAGTTACCTTTACCTATGTGCTCTTTAATAAAGTCAGACATCGATCAATGTATTCTTATATTGTCTTTTTTATCTCTTTTTACAAAACAGTTACGATTAATCTTAGGTTTTAAAAAGATGATCCTAGAATAGTGTTAGTTAACCATTGTCATGATAAATTTCTATGACTCGAGATAAAGTTAGAATATTCTGAATTTAGCATGATTAGCTTTTTAAAACCTTAAGATTAATTGTTTGGTGTATAGTGTCCTCTGTCAGTGGTCAGGAAGATAACCCGATGATCAATTCAACGCAAGCTTCACCAAGTACATATTCGCTGGGGAGTCACGTGATCACCTTCTTTACAACGCTCAATGGGCATAGTAATATTTCCATATTTAGTTAGTGTACTATGTACACAGTTGACGACGCATCTAACAGTAGATCATATTGCTTATATGGTAACAAGTGAGGTTTATTTTACAACACTCAGAATGAGTTGGTATATGTTATACACATAACACCTTGTTTTGTCCGTGTCGCTGTTTTGTGAAATACTGACTAGAGAGCCTCCTGAAACTGAGGTCACCACATGCCATTTATCGTGAGCCTGCTTATGAATGGAGGGGGTTGGTTAACCAGAGCTCCACTCCGTTGTAGAAAGTTCACATATGGTATGAGTTACTATACACATGCTATTCAATAAAGGCATGATGAATACTAAGAATATCAGGATCTAATTTTGTAAAAGAACAACACTAATTATAGGAAAAAACACCAATTCGCCTGTGTGAAATTTACAACCATATCCTTTAACTCTGCAAAGTACGAATTTGCAAAATCATTGTGTAATATTTCATGATAGTTTTAACTTCAAACTGACCATGTAACCATTGTTTGCTAGATACATATTATAATACCGCGATAGCTAGCCAACGGAATGGTCGTTACCTGATAACTTGGAAGTCAATTTGATAATTATTGGAAATTAATTGGGAACATGGGGTGTTAGCTGGAAACTTCACCTCTGTGTGTTATAACAAAATCAAGTGGGAAACATGATATTCGGTGGGAGAAATTAAAGTCGGAGAGAGGATGTTTTCCAAAGTATGTGTCTATTATGCCTGATTCAGAGTATTTGTAATTACAGGAGAAACCAACGAACGACTATTTCACGAGTTGAAATTCGAGCATTTTACTTCAAACACTGCCCGAATGCATCTGACCCTTGACCTACTTACAGTATGAGTGTATATTCGTGTTAATTTGCAGTTATAAGAATAATTTTCGTTAATTGTTTTTATGTCTAATATCTTCCAAAGAGTATGTAGAAGTCAGGAGATCATCTCAGCAACATGTGCATGATTTACATATGCATCTTTCCCTAGTTTAGTTATCGAATAGCACTTGTACATCCGTACATACTTTTTTGGATTTAATAAATATATCCATTTCGATTTTGAACGAAAAGACTAATGCGAGTTCGTCTGCAAGTCGGAAAATTTAAAAAAAGTGTTATACATTGTATTTTACCAAATCAAAATTTCTTAAGTTTATTGATACCAATTATTGTATATTTTTTTCTATTATTTCACCATGTCACATCTAAGCGTTCATTACCTTTAACTCAAAACCTCTTGCAGCGAATATCACAAGATTAATTGACTGTTTTGTATCAGGTTGGGTGTATGTTAAAAAACAAACAAAATGACAATACACTCACATCAAGAATATCTATCGTTGCGTGTATACAAACGTGATTAAACAATAACATTCCAATTTTCTAAAGTCCCCGGGCACGCAAGATTCTCATTTAAATATAGTTCCAAAAGTTTAACCCCTTGAGTGCCAAGCTGGACATTTGTTTGTTTTTACAATCAAATTTCAGCCTAAATAGGCTATTGAAAACCTATCCTGTGACAATTTGTTAAAAAAAAGGGCTCCTATTTTGTAAGTGCTGCCGTCAGAGCAGCTCGAATGAAGTGGGATAGATCTATGATGTGAATCTGTACGGAGGGGCGGTCGGATAGCTGATTGGTTAAAGCGTTCGCTCGTCACGCCGAAGACCCGGGTTCGATTCCCGACATGGGTACAATGTGTGAAGCCCATTTATGGTGTCCCCCGCCATGATATTGATGGAATATTGCTCAAAGCGGCTTAAAACCATACTCACTCACTCACTGTAGGTTCACAGTTCTCGTTGAATTGAAGTGTTAACAGTGTGGTTTTACTATAGACAAGTTTGTGTTAGTAACTGTATGATACTAAAAAAAAAATATAAAAAAAATAACCACAAGCAAACTGTCGTGTGATCGGCTTGTAGAGATAATTGCTTTCCAGAGGCATATTGACCATATGTATGACATCATAGAAATATGAATTAAAACAACAACAAAATATAAACTGTAATGAGGCTTTTATTAACAGCACAGGGTGTTGTCTTTACAAGTGTAGAGTTCGAGTGATTTCAACGATTTACAAAATGATTAAAAACCTTGACGGTTCAATGATTTTAGAAAAGTTTGAAGTGTTTAATCTCGACATGAAATACCCCACTCAGATGCACCTGATGGAGACGACCATCTTTGTGACATTTATAGATGTGTGCGTCCCGGAGGTCCCAACTTGACCGGTCTCCTGATGTATACGACCAGGCGTTTCTTTGACGCCAGGGAGCTGTCAATTAGAGAAATCTGTTTTGACTTAATGACAGGTCCTGTTTTCAATACATGGATAAGTCCAAATCTTTTTCCTTTACCTCGACTCGGTGACCGATTCTTCCGTGTCATTGCTTTGGGTAACACAAAATCTCAACTGAAGGGTTGTAAAACAAGAACAAGGTTTTTATTCTTGCTCGCTCTGCTCGTCATCGCCATCATCGGCGGCTGAGATAGATTCAGTGTCACTATCTGCTTCAGGTATGTCTACACGAGTCAGAATGTCTTTCATCACAGTTTTCGTGAAACGAGCGATCTTGTTTTTGATAATAGATTGATCAGTGCCAGGATCCATATCGCTCAGGCTGTCTAGGATGGGTTGAAATAGAGGCGCCTGTCTAAAATATTGGGAGAACTCTATGACACTTTTGAGACTGTCGGTCAATTCGCTGTCCCACATCTGTTTCATTTTTCTGTCAATCCATTCTTCTGTTCGACCCTGTTGTCGGTACTTTTTCCTCTTGAGTTTCATCGCGTCATGCTTGATGTTGTACACACGATTCGAGATGCGTTGTAAACCAACATTTTGCCACTCCTCCGCATCCACGTCGGCGTTTGGCGGCTTCCAGCGACGACGTTTGACAGCGAGACCTCCACCTTTCTGTTCAGGAAGTCGTTCCTCATCGTCGTCGCCGTTGTCGTCACTCTCGTATCTGAGACATTGTCTTTTGCATTTCAAGTTGTTGCTTGCTGGACACCATGATCTAATATGTCGCTGTAGATCGTGCATATTGTCTATCAATACGCCGCAGTCAGTACACGCAGTGGCCATGGTAAAAGGTCCTGTGTCGTCACTCGAGATGGATGCTGTTTCAACGTCGTCGTCGTCAGAGCTTAGAGACCTTTCTTTGGAAACTGAAGTGTGATCAGCACGAATGTCAGGAGCTGTCTGCACGTCTAATGCTAGAGAGACATCTTTTACCCGTTGTTGTTGTTGTTGTTGTTGTTGTTGTGAAGCACTGTGATCAGGTTGATTGTCGCTGGTTGTCAAGACGTTGACATGTAATCTATTCTTCTCACTTGTACCGGGTTTGAGATCCACTGTAAGGTGTCCATAAGGGGTTTCAACAGCCCTTTCATAAAGAGTCATAAATCTACCAATGTCTTCAGGAAATATTCTTCTGGCGAATAACTTCACCTGCTGTCTGTCCACTGGCGAATTGAAAAGTGTGACATAATGAGAATTTAGAGCAATGTCCCTAGATTCCTTACCTCTCGGGAAGAGGTTTTGCAATAGCAAAAAGATAATGACATTTTTGTGGTGGGAGGTTTGGGTAAACAGACGGGAAATCCGATTGTCATTCTTTGCTTCAGACAAAAAGTCATCCAACACCATCATGTTCTGATTACGGGCATCGAAGAAGTTTTCATCTTCGAGATTGTAAGGTATTCCTTTCACAAACCATACTTGAGGTAAAGTTTGAAGAATGCTATCGTAAAGCGGTTGCCACACAGTATAACACCAGACAATACAGTCGGGCAGGGGTTGAACGAATCCACGACGTAATAGGTTGAAGACAAACACCGACTTTCCGCATCCACTGGGTCCAACAACGATGCTATTGGAGGGTATAAGGAACTTGAATCGTCCATGTCGCTGGTGTTCCCGAGATGAAAGCAAACGTGGAGATATTTCCTGATGAGGAGGAGGAGGGTGTTTATCGGGAGGAGAAGGAGTAGGAGGAGTAAGGTGTTTATCCAGAGGACGAAGAAGAGAAGGCGAGTCTTGAGTTGATCTATGCACCTGCTTCTGATGTCTCTGTAGATTATCTTTTCGCGCAAAACTCTTGCCACAGTCTGGACAGTTGGTAACCTCCATAGTGAACAAATACAAGTGCGCGATAAGAGGGTCTGAACCATTCTTTAATACCCTTCACCCATGCAATGCTTAAAGACAGCTTGGGTTCATTTCACAGCAGCTTTTTATTTTCGACACAGGTTTCCTGAGGAGTAGGAGGAGGAGTAGGAGGAGGAGGAGGAGGAGGAAGAGGAGGTGTTGGTTGTGGTGGAGGGTGTTTATCCAGAGGAGGAGGAGGGTGTTTATCCAGAGGAGGAGGAGGGTGTTTATCCAGAGGAGGAGGAGGAGGAAAGAAGGGTGTTTATCCAGAGGAGGAGGAGGAGGAGGAGGAGGAGGAGGGTGTTTATCCAGAGGAGGAGGAGGAGGAGGAGGGTGTTTATCCAGAGGAGGAGGAGGAGGAGGAGGGTGTTTATCCAGAGGAGGAGGAGGAGGAGGAGGAGGGTGTTTATCCAGAGGAGGAGGAGGAGGAGGGTGTTTACCCAGAGGTGGAGGAGGAGGAGGAGGAGGGTGTTTATCCAGAGGAGGAGGAGGAGGAGGGTGTTTATCCAGAGGAGGAGGAGGAGGGTGTTTATCTAGAGGAGGAGGAGGAGGAGGGTGTTTACCCAGAGGTGGAGGAGGAAGAGGAGGGTGTTTATCCAGAGGAGGAGGAGGAGAAGGAGGAGGGTGTTTATCCAGAGGAGGAGGAGGAGGAGGGTGTTTATCCAGAGGAGGAGGAGGAGGAGGAGGGTGTTTATCTAGAGGAGGAGGAGGAAGAGGAGGGTGTTTATCCAGTGGAGGAGGAGGAGAAGGAGGAGGGTGTTTATCCAGAGGAGGAGGAGGAGGAGGAAGGTGTTTATCCAGAGGAGTAGGAGGAGGAGGAGGAGATGTTTATCCAGAGGAGGAAGAGGAGGAGGAGGAGGGTGTTTATCCAGAGGAGGAGGAGGAGGAAGAGGAGGGTGTTTTTGCAGAGGAGGTGGAGGAGGGTGTTTATCCAGAGGAGGAGGAGGAGGAGAAGGGTGTTTATCCAGAGGAGGAGGAGGAGGAGGAAAGAAGGGTGTTTATCCAGAGGAGGAGGAGAAGGAGGAGAAGGGTGTTTATCCAGAGGAGGAGGAGGAGGAGGAGGAGGAGGAGGAGGAGGGTGTTTATCCAGAGGAGGAGGAGGAGGAGAAGGGTGTTTATCCAGAGGAGGAGGAGGAGGATGAGGAGGAGGGTGTTTATCCAGAGGAGGAGGAGGAGGTGGAGGAGGAGGAGGAGGGTGTTAATCCAGAGGAGGAGGAGGAGGGTGTTATCCAGAGGAGGAGGAGGAGGATGAGGGTGTTTATCCAGAGGAGGAGGAGGAGGAGGAGGGTGTTTATCCAGAGGAGGAGGAGGAGGAGGGTGTTTATCCAGAGGAGGAGGAGGGTGTTTATCCATAGGAGGAGGAGGGGGAGGAGGGTGTTTATCCAGAGGAGGAGGAGGAGGAGGGTGTTTATCCAGAGGAGGAGGAGGAGGGTGTTTATCCAGAGGAGGAGGAGGAGTAAGGTGTTTATCCAGAGGAGGAAGAAGAGAAGGCGAGTCTTGAGTTGACCTGTGCACCTGCTTCTGATGTCTCTGTAGATTATCTTTTCGCGTAAAACTCTTGTCTCAGTCTGGACAGGTGGTAACCTCCATAGTGATCAAATACAATAAGTGCGCGACGAGAGGGTCTGAACCATTCTTTTATTTCCTTCAGCCATGCGACGCTTCAAGGCAGGTCGGATTCGTTTCACAACAGCATTTACTTTCGACACGGGTTGCATTTTCAGTATAGTCATTTTCGCTTTCTTGGTTGTCATCTTTTTCTTCTTAGATGCAACCAGTCTCTTCGGCGACCCCTTTGATGCCATTGATTTTCTCAGACATGTTTTTCTCGACTTGGTCCTGCTATGCTTTGTGAAAATGACTGTAGGTCCAAATATATCCTCTGAAACTCTCTTCATTTTGAAAACGGACGTCTTATCTGTCAGCAAGGTTAGAGTGAAAATGTAAGTCACTCAACAATACCGTTGAGTTTTATAACAAATAGTGACATAGATCACACTCTTATTCCTGGGCTGATAATCTCAGCAGACGCAGCCCCCCGAATGAGCATGGAGAAAAGGTAGGTGCAAGAAGGCGGCAAAATTCAGTCGCAATAACATTCCATTTCGTGTGCGATGTCAAGTTTCCATGTGAGGATATTCATTACTATCCATTGTTCTTTGTTAATGTAAGTAAATTGCATCTGGTCAGTTGACCCTGTATTCATCTAATTAACCTGATACATCACTTATACATTTACACATTAATGAGTTATCTTGCATATTAATGAGGGATTGGTGACCTAAGTTTCCATATATGGATGTTCATTACTATCCATTGTTCTTTGTTAATGAATGCTCAGGTAATCTTATCTCTTAGAAGTTATCTACTAAACAACGTTATTTCACTCTATTGAGCATGGAGAAAAGGTAGGTGCAAGAAGACGGCAAAATTCAGTCGCAATAACATTCCATTTCGCGTGCGATGTCAAGTTTCCATATGAGGATATTCATTACTATCCATTGTTCTTTGTTAATGTAAGTAATTTGTTGCATGATTGCATCTGGTCAGTTGACCCGGTATTCATCTAATTAACCTGATACATCACTTATACATTTACACATTAATGAATTATCTTGCATATTAATGAGGGATTGGTGACCTACGTTTCCATATAAGGATGTTCATTACTATCCATTGTTCTTTGTTAATGAATGCTCAAGTAATCTTATCTCTTAGAAGTTATCTACTAAACAACGTTATTTCACTCTATTTTTTCTCATGAAAATGATTCTTGGTATGGGTTAAACGAGTATTTTTCCATTGAAATAGGAAACTGAATCGACATTTTGAACTCAAACATCTTTTAGAAAAAAGAATAGAATTTTACAGTATTGAAACGTCATATACCAGACTGGCATACATTACAGTCTTCAACACACGGGTTTCGCGATACCGACTCTATAGTTCTCCGAGCTGACCTCTTGGCGTCAAGACTGTTAACCCTTATTTTTTTATTTAGTTGTCATGGCAACTGAATGTTACAAGGAACTTATAATAGGTAACACTATAAGAGTTAAGAACTGGACATGTGGTTTCTATGGAAATTCAACTCACAGCCTTCTTTGCCACACGTGACAGTCATTACTACGCGAAATACATGCATCAATGGAATATGTCGAACAATGACATTCCTTTCCCCCGTGAATCGTATTTGAACCTCGTAGTAGCCACTTCCATATAGGACACTCATTAC